GTCATGACAGAGGTTGGCAAAATCCCATGAAGGAAAAAGATAGAGCTTCAGAAAGGGACTGGTCTGGTTCTTCTGAGAGAAGGTACCGAGAAGATAGAGATCCAGGGTATGAGAGGGGAATGTCAAGAGAGAAAGATACAGGTCATGATCATGATTGGTCAGAGAGAAGACATCGTGATGACAGGGACACTGGTCGAGAACGTGATAGGGAGCGTGATAGAGAACGGGAACGTTCTCGAGACCGCGACCGTGACCGTGATAGGGAACGGGATAGGGACAGGGAAAAAGATCGTTATAGGGAAGACAGAGAGAGATATGCAGATCATCATAGATACCGGGACCGTGAACCAGAACATGATGATGAGTGGGACAGGGGACGATCATCAAGGACGCACAGTAAGTCACGATTATCTCAAGAGGAAGAGCATCGCTCAAGGTCAAGGGATGCTGATTATGGGAAGAGGAGAAGGCTTACCTCAGAGTAACTATTGCCTGATACTGCTATTCCAGAAATTTATTCTAAAGAAGAGACAGAGATTTTTATTATAGCCACACTTTAGGTTCATCATGCTCATTTAGATTCTCTTTCAAGTGGTGGTTTTGGGTCCTCAATTTCTTGAACGCCAGTTCTCACTGCATTTGCCTGCAATTTATGGATTGCTTCTTTCACCAGACTGTGGCTTGATTTTCATAGAAAAGAGGTATTTTACTTTTATTTTTGGTTGATTCTGTTAACCTATTATGAGAGAATATCAGTGGATAGTTTTGCATGAATTGTGTTATGAATATATCAGGTTTGTTGCTATTATTGTTGTACATAGCTTAGGTCGTCTAGGATGACTTTTTGAACCATTATACAGATTCCACTTATGTCACCTTATAATGTCAAGATAACTACATCTCGATTTGAATTTTTATTTACATGAGGCAGAGATAACATCACCCAACAATTCCTTGTTTGTTCCTTCCTTCCTGAAGTACTGCATTTGCTGCCATTTTCTATCAAAGGTGATGGGAAAAATAAACCTTTCTCAGAATTGATTGAAGTACTAGATAAATTTATGAAGACAATATTTAGGTCAGATTCGCCAATTTTATTATGCGGACACTGGCAAATAATATACTAGTCAAGAAAATTGTTAACCTAATATATTATCTTGCAAATAAAAAAGAATAATATGGATCTTTCTTGGTCAAATATTGAAAGTTAGAGTTTATGCAGGCATGATATTCATACTGAAATGAACACATGGCCCTATTCTGTGAATAATAATAAGCCTTGAATTTTTGTGATGGGTACTTTAGCATATCTCTGGCGTCCCGTGTTGTGCCAGAACTTTTAATATTGTGCATGTTATCTGATGCGGCGAAATTAGCAAGGATGTTATTGATATAAACTATTATTATTGTTTTTGATACTCTCCTTGCGGTTAAAATTTTAACTTTTCCTTTATAAGTAGAGGCTGCTGTTGCTTTCTGTTAATTGCCTTGAAGAACTGAATTGCTAATGCTATGTAACATTTGTTTGTTTTATCAATAGCTTGAAGGGTAGTTCATCTTGATTGTCAGTGCTGTTCGGCAGAGCCACGTGTTCATAGGAAATGAAGAGGACTTCCAACCTTATGTTGTGTGAGAGAGAATATTAGATGGTGATTCCCCTGTGGCAGCTCCCAGTGATGTAGAAGTGGAACTTTTTGCTTTTAAGTTTTTAGACTTCCTTCAATTTGTGTTTTGGTTAATTAAGACTTGATGAAACCAATGTTGTGGATGATATTATGGCTTGACATTGCTGAAGTCTCCTGAGATGTGGTAGAATATTTTAGCACTTACCTTTTGAATGTGATGTAATAGGATTTAGCACAGAGGATGTTGCTGATGTGCCTTGTTTTTATTGGCTAGTTGTTGTATCATTGCAGCCCCTCTTTTTTTTGCTGTTTAGCTTTGAGTATACCACAATGTTAACCATGCGAATCTTTTTTGTTTTCTTTTGTTTTATTCTTTTGTGAAGGGGATGTAGAAAACCTTATGTAGAAAACCTAACCTGTTCATTGCAGCTCAGCTAGTTAGGCTCTGAGAATTGTACAGAGATTTACTTGTATATATTGGACATTGTTTACAGATGTTCTTTATAATACAGAACTTTGTTTTCTCAGTGGTTTTTTGCCCCCATATTTTTCTTGCATTTTCTTCTTGATGGTTAAGAATTTGCCGACCCTTTTGTGCTTAGAACATCAGATTTGCGTTTAGAACATTAGAGTCAAATAATTTGTGTTGGTGCACCTAGCTCAAACCAGGAATTGGAGGCATGATATGGTCATGCTGGTTTCTTTCTTATTAATTCCTAACAAATTCTTATATTTGATTTTCACTTTAGTAGTAATATGTATGGTTAGAACACTACTTTGTTGTAATTGAGGTATCACTGTATTCACCTTTTGGTTCTTTGATGGTAACAATTAAAACCTACCTTTTAGGGTAGGAGTTGAATTGTTACTATCAAAAAGTCGAAGCAAGGGTTAGTGGTAATTCAAACATGACAAATTGTATCCTAACTAGACGTATTATATCTATGAGCATTGAGTAGGTGGAGTGTGGAAAATGAATCTAAAGGCAGGACAAGTCCTTTATCCTCCATTTTTTATTTGACTTCCTCTGTTTTCGTTTTTCTCTTTTCTCATCAGAAACTTAGAAAAACCAGAATTCTTTTAGGACCACCTGGTTTGAACTGGCATATGCATTTTGATAGTTATGATTTTTCTCCTTTTTCCTGTTTTGAATGTTAGATCTGTCATGGCCTATGGCTCTCTGGAAACTGTCTACTTAAGATTCCCTAGGTCCTGATGAAAAAACTAGAATTCTAATTCTCTTTTCATAGTGTTCTCTCTCACTAATGGCTCGGCCTCCACGGAAGGAAGCGGATTACTGTTCTTATTTCTAGGTCCTCTTAAGATTCTTTTTCAAACATATCTCTTGTTTGAGTTAAGAGATAAATAAATAGACGCGTCTATTGCCACTGATCGGGAACATTCGTAGTGACCGAGGGAGTTGGAAGGTAAAGAAGTGAATTAGACAATGCCACCTCTTTCCTCTTTTTATAGCAAAGTTGCGATTGGTAATTCTCTGCAACTGAAATTGCCAATTGAACTGCTACTTCCATTTTTTAGTGATATCAGGAGATTTGGCTTGTTTGGTGTCTTAGCTTTAATTTAGTGAAATCCCTGATGTTGTTTATCCTAATTCCCACGATGTTCATTCAACAGTGAGAATTTAAAAGATTTGTCGTCTTCAACATTTTTTTTTTTTTGGGGATATTTAATCATATAAAATTGTAGTTTAAGAATTATATAAACAAAAATTTAACCCTACTGGTTTCATTTCAACTTTGCCACGACAATGTTAATATATATTTTTTTAAAAAAAATTAATAATAATATCGATATAGAAAAAAAATGTAACAATAGTAATAATAATAATAATTTATTATAAGTGTATACCCTGTGTATAACACAGTAATCATGAACATTAAATTAAACCCTAGACTAATCAGTCACACGCAGCTATTCACAACTCATATACTTTCTTAATTTTTTTTTTTAAACATCCACTAATTCACAGAAAACCCCATTTAAAAATATGATTATGTCTTCCTAAAACTACCCCCACTTTAAATTAACCCCAAGAACAAAAAAAGTGTGAAAATCAACAGCCTATCCAACTAACTCCAGCCCAGGCCCAGTAGGACCCATCCCATCGGTCAACATACCACATCCGTACACGTGTCCCGGAAAATTCATCAGTACTACTATCTGGGCCTACCCAAGCTAGGTCCGGGCCCACCACTACCCTTCCCCAACACAACGCCGCCGCCACCACTAACAGCCACCTGATGAAACCCGCCAGAACCGTACACGTGTCCGCCCATCATCATCTCATACATCGCACTGCTAGTACTTCCGCCGCCACCATCCGCAGCGAAACCACCGGGCGGCGCGTCCTTGTCACGCACCCCAGCAGTCTTCTCGCCTTCCATCTCCCTGAATCTCTGCAGGTAAATCTTGAGGGGTTCGACGTAGTCTTCGAATCCCAAGGTGGTCATCGCCCACAGCAGATCGTCGCCGTTGATCGTCTTCCTCTTCTCCCTCTGGCACTTGTCGGAAGCCTCGCCGGTGATGAAACTGATGAACTCCGACACGCACTCCTGCACTGTTTCCTTCGCGTCTTTAGAGATTTTGGCGTTGGCGGGAAGCGCCTTCTTCATGATTCTGCTAACGTTGGCTATCGGCAGGAACCGGTCTTGCTCCCTCGGCGACAGCTCGCTGTTTCCCGCGTTCTTCCCTCTCGCTTCTCCCGATTCGTTGTCCGAGTCCGCCATTCTTATAACTCTCTCCCTTGCCTTTTGAGCCTCACAGCGATATGGATAATTTGGATTTTGAGCTCCTTTCGTGAAACTTCAACTGCCAAAACTTAATTATATTAATAATACAGTATATGACTACGCACGGTGAAGAATTACCAGAGAGAAGCTGAAAATGGAAGGTTTTGATTCCCGTTTTAGTTTACAGAGGAACAAAGGTAGGTAACGAACTTTCAATTTTAGTTTACAGAACGTTTGAAAACAAATGCTTTAGCTGCGAAAATGAATTGGAACGTCCGTGAAAATTCTTGCTTTCTGCGATGAAAATGGAGAAGAGTGAAGGAAGTAACGCGTTAAGAAATTCAAAACAGGAGAGTTTTCTTTTGAGTTTTGATTGGCGAGTTTACAAGGAATGGAAATCAGAGAGAGGGAGAGGAGGAGGAAGGTAGATTTGGGAGCGAGTGAGTTGGATCCGTTGGATCAAGGCTTTTAAAAACGGTAATCTTCGGCCACGTGGATGATTATTAACCGTTGTTTATCGATAAGTGCGACTTTACAAGGACGGGTTTTGGACCACCCGATTGTTTGTTCGCTGGCTTGTCTGAACCGTTGATTTGGTATCTGGCACGTGTTCGGCATTCCATTTTTTAAAAATTGCAAAAGAATTAACGGGTAATTAGGAAAAAAAATATATTACGTTCCTTAATATAATTTCTATTATTTTAATTATTATATTTTTAACAAAATAGTTTAATGACTGTAAAAATAATTATTATTTAGACTTTTAAATTCTATTCTTATTTTATCTCAAAACAAATAAAAAGTATACTTTATAATAAAATGACTAATGAATTTTAATTGAAGACATTATTTTAAATTAATATATTGCAATTATTTAATATTAATTGATTATTTTGTAATAAATTTAACAATAAACACTAAGATCAATACAAGTCATGTAAAAAACAATGTTGCCAAAAATTAGTCAAATAAATTTCTACCATGTGCAATGTCTTTTCCACATACCCTTAAAAAAAATTAAATTAATGGGCTAACTTATTTTATGTATTAGTTTACAGTAATATTCTTTAAATAAAAATGTATGTATTTTAATAATTAAATAATAATATTATATTAATAATAATAGAATTAATTATTAATTATATGGAATATGTATAAAGTTAAGTAAAAATAGCCTTAAAGGTCTAATTGGGTCACGACCTTTCACAAATATCTTCTTTCGTGATTGTATAGTTTAAGAATGTCTCTCCCCCTCTCCCCCCTTAAAACAATATTAAGGCTGACTAATGACGACCAATTAAACTATTAAGTTTGGTTAATATTTTGATTATAATTATCAAATGTCGGCGTAAGTATATATTTTAAGATAATTTAAGAAGGGAAGACAATCCAAAAACTTTGATTAATTAATAATAATTAAAGCTTAGACTCTTGTTGTAAATAAAATTTAATCTTTTAATTTCGAGTAATGAAAACAGCCAACCCACTTGATTGTGATTAGCTTATATATATATATATATATATTATAATATTTTAGGGACTTATCATATGGGATGATTATTTTGTACCCATTCAACTCAATCGTAAGAAATTGTAAAAAAAAAAAAAAATATCTTGAACAATAAGTAAATTATATATGCCATAAATTCATACTAAAGTCTCTAATTAAAAAACATTTTTTAACCCCTTGTAGTGCATGTGTATATATAAAAGTGTGTATATGTGTGTGTGTATACAGACATACATATATATATATATATATATAAATATTGTGTTGTGTGTGTGTGTGTGTGTGTGTGCATGTGTGCTTCTCATGACTTGAAGGTCAATTGAATTGAGTGCGCCACTACTTTAGTGGAGCATAGTTTTTGTTTTTAGTATGAAGATTTTTTTTTATATTTTGATATTTTTAAGATTTTCTTTTATTTGTCACTTTTAAAACTTTCTTTGATATTGTAATATATATATATATATATATATATGATATGATATGATTAAATGGGAAGGTTCATGAACGATTAAAAGTTGATTAGCAATGGTAAAACAGTATTGCATTAGAAATGATGCCTAACTAATCTCACCTACCCGGTTTTTGGATTTATCTTATTTATTTGTATTTATTATAAGATAAAAATTATGATTTATGTAAAGCATAGGTTAAAATAGAATATAGTTTTCTTTTTATTAATTTATGTAATTTGAATTCTAAAGTTAATTACATTTTATTATATGGGTTCGTTTTCGTATGCTCTATTAATTTTCAAAGATAAGCATGCCTCAACTATAATTCGGAAAATTTATACATATAATA